GTGTTCGGAGGTTCAAACCCCGCTGCATGTCGTTGTGTCCCTGAGCCACTTCACCCCAAATTGCTCCTGGGATTGTCCACAGTATTGAGTCTGTAAGTCGCTTTGGATAAAAGACAGGATATTAAACTGTCATCATTTACTATCATGAGGAATTAAGATATTACATTTTGAGCACAATCTGAAACAAACAAGATCCAAGTGTTTTTTGTGTGCCAGATTCATATGTGGCGGTGTGGTGCTCATGTAGAATGCTTGGTTTGCTGACATCGCGTCCTGGGGGAGTTTCGCCCCCAGGAAATTACTAAAAAACTAAAGTTATACAATTTAATAAAAAGGCAATCAGGTTCGTTTGAACACCACAGGCAGAGACAGTATAAAGGATATTACAACAATTGTTATTTTATTGGTACATAATTATATTCCTTAATAGTACACAATGTAATGTTATAAAAGTTCTCCAGGGAGGAGGGAGAAGGACAGTGCTGGGGCTTACCACGGCGGCAATTAACAAAACGGGGAGGAAGGGGTCAAATCAAAATCACCCGTGACACTGCACACCAAACAAAACGGACACGTGAAGAACACCACCACCAGGGATTGGGTTTGCCGCCTCGAGCCCACAGCACCTGTCCGGTGTCAGTACCAGATATGTTCGGGCTACCAGATATGTTCGGGTGTATTTCCGTCGCATCCGTCATCCGTCATATTCGTCATATTTTACGGCAACTCAAGAGGGCCATCACGGTCAAATTCCGAACATTTAAACATAGCCGACACTTCAATCTTTACTTTGTCCGTTATTATATGTAGAAGATTATACTTTTTCTCCGTCATGTTGTTTCCATAGCAACAACTTCAAACAATAACAACTAACCGCTAGCCGCAAAGCTAGCTTCACAGCCACTGCTCCGTTTTCGGAGACTTTGCACACGTTTTTCACACGCTAGGAGTACTTCCACTAGCTTCGTCTTGATCTGTAGATGTGATTTGATGTGTCGTGTGTCCCCCAACTCCTCTCCAAAGTTCAGATATTTAATAAAATACTCAGGGGAGTTTCCTGAATTTTCATGCCCAAAGCCAAGCACTAAGCCCTGGGTAAATTAAGAGGCTGATCTCGGGCACTTTTGTCCACTTTCCCTGGTGGTCGAAACTCAAGCCAGACATCCCTGGAATCGTCTCAGAGAGTAGATGATCAGTGGGGCCTTGTTTTTACTGAATAATGTGTTTTTTTATGATGAATTCAAATATGTATATTTACCTGTCTGGTAGAGAGTGTGATGCGCGAGCTGCCACGCCAAACAATCCACGCGGCCACAAAGGAGAAGCGGAGGGGGAGGGAGCAGATTTGTCTCCTCCACTTAAATAGCAGGTGCGCAAAATAGCAGGTGCGCTGGCATGGTGCCAAGCAGCGTCACAGAGGGAGGAGACGTGACGTCCGGTCACACATACATAGCGTGCACACAAGTTGACTTCCCGCTGTGACAAGATTATAAATTGTTGGAGCAAGATGTGTCGCGCAGAAATCATCCTGTGCTGAGGGCAAGATCCACATGTGTACATGAGTTGCATTTTGGTGGGAAAAGGATATTTTCCTGACGCACACATGTTGTTTTCGTCGGAGATCCATATGTTCAGGGAACGGGTTGATGTTGTGGGAACAAGATTGACATTTGAATGTGCTCAGGGTATTCTGTTGGAAGCAAAATCCATATATGCAGGAAGTTATTATCTAGTAATGCATGGTGTCCGCGGGGTCATAACAAGTATTACAAGTTGATAAATCAATTTAGAGAAAATGAAGGCTATTAAAAAGTATTAAATGGCATTTCCCAAGGTATTACATTTTGTAGCTTGTTTTCAATAAGTATATAAATGGTCCAAAGAGGTTGGTCTCTACAGTCTGCCTGAATGTAATCATTGCGTAGGTGTGTAGTGTGATTCTGTGTAGTTTATTGATGGCATCCCGTTGGATTTGACCTCATCTGAACAGGACATCGCACGCTCACTGCTTGATAGCGCGCGAAGGTCCGTTTACGCCGGTTGCTAAGCAACATCGTTATGGGAAAATGCAAGTTTGCGTCCAAATGGTTGGAAGGTAAGGAGGAAGGACAATCAATACTGTATATAGTCAATGTGAGGTAAAGTGTGTCGCCAAGGTAACCGGTTAAAACTCAAAGTGGCGATGAGGTCTTCAAGGTTGTGTCTTCCTGGTCGAATGTAGCCTACTTATTGTAAGTCGCTTTGGATAAAAGCGTCAGCTAAATGCAATGTAATGTAATGTAATGTCTTAAAATGTATGGAAAGGGTCTTAAAAAAGGTCTTAAAAGGAATTACATTGACTTCAGGATTCCTGCATATACCCTGTAATGGGATCAGGTCATACAAAAGTTACCCGTTTTGCACAGGAATGAAAAAAAACATATTTTGGGTGCGTCACTTTGATGAAGATGAAACTCATGGGTTATTTATTTTAAACATAAGTAAAGGTTTCAGGACATAACCCTGATGGCACGAGTCTTTGTTGAATATTGTTGAAATGTGAATTCCCAGTGGGAAAACTCTTCCTCCTAAAATCACACGATGGATTTTTCCTCGAAGTAATGACAGAGATCACCGCCTTGTGACCAGCATCACCACATGACTATAAAGGAGCTCCTTTAGAAGTAACAAGACATGCATTTCCTACATCACCTCTTAATGACTGCTTTTGTCTGTTTCCGTCAGACGAAAAATGTGCAGAAAATTGATTTCCCCCCCGTGTTCTTGCAACAAGCCGTGGCTGTGCAGATGATGAATTACCCACTTTGTTTAAAAAGTGACTTCAAAGAGACGTTCACATAAACGTGAAGCTGTCTTCGTGTCCAGCGTTCGGTTGGAGTTATTTCAGGACGTCATGACAGGTTGGAGAAGTGAAAGGCCACACTTGTTGTGACTGGGAAAGCGCGGTAGATGGAGATCACAGTACCATCAATTTATATTTAGCGAGGAATCCGGGGGGGACCTGCCCTGAAGGGGGATTCACACCCAGAGGAAAAATAATCAAGAGGGATAAGAAAACATTCCTGCGCTCAGACGCTTTTAAATTCCTCCCCAGCCTCCTCCTCTTCATCACAAGCATCACAGATGAAGAGATGAACTGACTGGATTTGCACTGAATATCTGTAATGTTCTCCCTTATCTTCCCCCGTACCTTTGGACTCATCTCCATCACAGTCTGCGGAGCGACTCGGGTAAAGTCAAAAAGAGATGAGTGTGATGAGATGTCTTTATCACCCCCTCTCGGCTTTAGTTCCCTTTCATTCGTTTTAGAGTGCTCTGTTGGCACAGTGAGATGTCCACTTCACGAATAAAACAAAAGTTATAACGGTAACATGTGGAAAAGGAGAAGTGCTTTATTGTCCAGCAGATCTACACAAAGCTGTGTTCAAATTAAAATAATAAATTACATAGAAAGGGAATACATGAGGAAGATGTCTTGTAGGATAACAACAACAACAGGTGTTATAACAAAAAGAAAACAACATTGCGAGAAAGACAGATAAAACAATTATATTCTTGGATGTATTTGGAAGCAAAACATTATCTTTTTATATAATATATATGTTAAAATATATTTCTTCAGTTCATTAAAGGTGGGGTAGGTCATTTTGGAGAGCTCGAGTGCGCTAGAATTTGAAAATACACAGCCGGAAGGAATCTGCTACTTCCTTACAGAGCCCCTCCTCCAACACACACGAACGCTCATGACATTGTTTGTTTTGTGTTTAGCTTTTTAATCTTATTTATTGATGTGTATCTTGTCATTCTGTGTGTGATATGGACCTTGAGTCTGAAATAAAGATTGAATTGAAAATCGAATTGACCAATGAGGGCACGAGGTAAGTTTGTGCACAGATGGAAGGTTGACAGGCAGGTAGGCCATCCAGTTACTTTAGCCGGGCCGGCTCAGATGATTGGTCGTGCTTTTTACAGCGCCACGGCTTCCACAGATGACTTTTTGCTTATGGATTTTTTGTCAAAGCACTTCAGATATTCATTGCTATCGGGATGTTAAGAGCATTCCATGGAATATAACAAAGTGTATCTCGAGCCGGTTTCTCAAACTTACCTACCCCACCTTTAAAGCAATTTTCTTAGTAAAATATTTTTTTCTTAACTTTTCCAAAAGACTACATTCAAAGAAAGACAGACATATTCTTGGATGCATTTTAGCTCAATTTATTCTATTTTACTTGCATATAACTTCTCCTGCATTACTGCATTTCAATCAGGAGACACGGTTTTGATGTAAGAACACATATTTATTGCCAGGATTACACGAATGAATGGAATGGAGTTTTGGCGATTAGGCCCCGTTGTGCAGGAAGTATCATTCGGGAGGGGACAACCGATCTGATGAAACCCCCCCGGGGTCTAGACACTGTTGGTGGTGAATGGATAGTTAGGTTCGGTCTGAAGGGGAGGGGCTTAGCTTGACCCTGGATTCGGAGGGACAGGAGGTGAAAAAGGATGGAGGAGGGTTGCGTTGAGTCACCTGAAATGACAGCTGTCAGAGGGGGAGAGCTAATTTAAAAGGTTTAGCGGAGCGCTATGATAGGCTTGTGAGAATAGAGCGAAGTGATTGGTTAAGCTGGGGATCACTTATTGAGAGGAGAGAGAGTAGGCCTAGTAACATAGCATAGTAAATGAATGAATAGAGAAGGTCTTCCTGGTTGAACTAGCGCTGAGCTTCATTAGTCTTGCAACCTTCTCTCTTGCACTATTTTATTTCTACTCTAGCTGTGCATATGACAATAAAGTTCCCTTTGAATAAACCTGGATAACTTTGACAACACCATCCAAAATCCCTTGTTTCCGATGTATTAGTCAACTGCCCAACAAGCTGATTTGTTTGGTAGCAACCAGCTTTAAGGCCACAACTAATATCTAAAATCTAGACACTTACTGAAAGCATTTTGTTTACATTCTCCCGCTTTCTTCTCCTCTATCTCCCTAAACAGCCGGAGTTGTCTGGAGCCGCCATCCTGCACCAGACTCGGAGGGACCAGGTCGTTGATTCCTGTCGAGCCTACAGCGCGTCCAGCCATAAGCGAAGAGTCCTGACTCCCGCAGACCTCAAACACCTCGTGGTGGACGAGGACCACGAGCTCATCTACTGCTACGTCCCCAAGGTGGCCTGTACCAACTGGAAACGCGTCATGATGGTGCTCACAGGACGAGGAAAATACAGGTGGGGCATCAGTGTAGACCAGGGATGTCCAAACCTTTTTCTCCGAGGGCCACATATAGAAAAATATACGAAGGGCTGGGCCGTTCACTAGAGGTACTGTAAGTTGGAAAAATCAATCCAATATAGGTGAATTATTCTTGATACTTGAAAAATGCTGTAAGAAAAAAACAGCTCCCAGCTCTCCAGAGGGTTTACTTTATCTTGTTAGCAGCTCATTCCTTAAAACAGAAGCTTCAGATTGATTATAATAAGAGGAAATATGAACGGTCTATTTCAAGGTTGTTATGTGAATTTGTTATTGGGCTCTTTTATTATCAACTTAGATTTTGTTTTTAACATGTTTTTAACTTTAATTTAGTGAATTTATTTGAAATTGGGCGTATTAACACATGAATACTGTGTGATATATTTGAACATATATTTAAGAAGTACAAAATAAGACAAGCAGAAGTTTATTATACTTAAGTCATTATACATTTTTGAATCTGCTGAGGGCCGATTCAAAATGTCCCGCGGTCCACATTTGGCCCCCGGGCCGTAGTTTAGAGGAGTGGAGTGCACCAGCTGGGCGTAAAAAAGTAGGGCTTAACTCTAACGTCGGGCTTAGCTACGTCCGACGTAGTGATTCGAATTTACACCGAGTGCACCAAGCCTGACTAGTCTCGGGCGTAGCTGCGCCTGGTCTTAAGATGCGTGTCCACGTGAATACACGCGAAACAGTAATTGTTGCCAAGCAACGCCATTTTACCATTTTACAGACTCAGAGGACCGCAGAGAAGAGGGAATTCCCACACCCACAGCGTCAGCGATGACTCAAGGGGAATCCCAAATGGCCACACCCCGAAAGAGAAAGAGGGATTTGTCAGAGCTACAGCGGGAACTGACGGAGAAAGAAATCGTTCGTGTGGAGGTGGAGACCGTCAAATTGAGAGCGGAACACGAAAAAATTGAGCTGGAGAAGGAGAAATTGAGACTCTTCTTAATGCCCTTTCATTGTTAAACATGTAAACAAGACGCCCTGCCATCGTTAATATCCTTCTTGCCTGTTTTACGTTACTATGGATACTAGTCTGTCTTTCCGATTTACGCCTGCTCCATACTAGGCGTAAAAGTTACACCCGGGCGCAACGCATACAGGGCTTAAGTCTAAGTGGTGCACTAGTCATAACTTTAGTTTGGTTTTAACCTTCGGTTCTACGTCGGACGTAGAGTTACGCCCAGCTGGTGCACTCCACTCCTGGTCTAGTTTCTGGAAGTCTTGGAAAGTTCATTCTCTTCTAAATGTCAATAAATATAATGCTTTTGTGGTTGACAAGCAAAATGCACAGGATATCAGTTCAATTTAGTTCATCTTTGTTCCGTTCATGGTATGCAAATCTTAATTTATAATAATCGTTAACAAAACATGTCTCTGTAAACATTCCATTGACCGAAAAGGAGAAGAGACTGTGTATTTGAGTTTGAAACCCCTGCTCTAAGGGAATACAGTGACCGTTGTTTTTTTTAATCCTGATTACGCAATCGTGTTTAATGTAATCAATTACTCCCAAATCACGGATACAAGTATCAAACCATTGTGGTCGATCAGTAGTAGCTAAGCATGTTCTGTGCAAATGAAGGGCATTAATTGCACTGTTCCAATTAGCAAAGGACATTTAAAATCTATTGCTTTTTACAATGAGGGACCTGTTTCTCTGCCCAGAAGTGTGAAGAAATACTTAGCCAGCTACTTTACCAATGTGGAACGAACCACTTTTGTTTTGCACTGTAAGGACATATTGTGTTTGTTAGAAAAATATCACTCGTCACCGGCTTGAGCTTCAATCTCAGGATCCATGTATTTATTATCCTTATCCATTCTCAAAATTCTTACAATTATGACTTTTTCTCAAAATTAGGACTTTCTCTAAAAATCTAAAAAACGATGACTTTTTCTCAAAATTCTTAAAATTATGACTTTTTCTTAAAATTATGACTTTCTCTAAAAAATTATGACTTTCTCTAAAAATCTAAAAAATTGTGACTTTTTCTCTAAAAATTGTGACTTTCTCTAAAAATCTAAAAAATTATGACTTTTTTTCAAAATTCCAAAATTATGACTTTCTAAAAATCTCAAAATTATGACTTTTTCTCAAAATCCTGACTTTTTCTGAATACTTAAAAATGTTAATAATCACTGGTCACCGGCTTGAGCTTCAATATCAGGATCCATGTATTTGTGATCCTCTCCAGAATGGAAGTAGTCATCACATACAGAGCATCAAGTTCCTGAGCAGTGTCCTTCACATGCTGATATCCAAGAGAGGGAGTTACACAGTCACAAGATGGAGGAATAGAAAGCAGTATTCAATGTTTACTTCGGATTAGCTCCACGTCAGAAATGAGCATGCTTGTCATATGTCTATCTCCATAGAGGCTGAATCATCATGTTAATCACATAGCTATCATATGCCTCAAACAGTCCTGATGCTCTTCTAGGTAATCATACATCCTGTCATGTACACAGCTACAGTTGGGATACCTTTGTTATCATGTGTACTCTGATATTGGAAGAGTACATTCACTATTTTCCCAACAGTGTTAGATGTAGATGTGGTGGCACATTGTCAATGTCCATTTTCCTCTTTTTCCACAGCGACCCGATGGAAATCCCGTCCAAAGAAGCCCACATCCCTTCCAACCTGAAGACGCTGAACCAGTACAGTATCTCCGAGATTAACCACCGCCTCAAGAACTACCTCAAGTTCCTCTTCGTTCGTGAGCCCTTCGAGAGGCTGGTCTCCGCTTACCGCAACAAGTTCACCCTCAAGTACAACTCGTCCTTTCACAAGCGTTTCGGCACCCGTATCATCCGGCGCTACCGCAAGAACGCGACCCAGGAAGCCCTCGTCAACGGTGCCGATGTGAAGTTCAAAGAGTTTGCCGAGTACCTGGTGGATCCGGCGACTCAGCGCGACGGCCCTCTGAACGAGCACTGGCAGACCGTCTACCAGCTGTGCCACCCGTGCCACATCCACTACGACATGGTGGGGAAGTACGACACTCTGGAGGAAGATGCTAACTACGTGCTAAGGCTTGTGGGTGTCGGCGATTCCTTGCGTTTCCCGAGTTACGCCAAATCCACTCGTACCACGGACGCCATGACGGCACAGTTCTTCAGCAATATCAGCACTCAGCAGCAGATCCAACTCTACCAGCTCTACAAGTTGGACTTCCTCATGTACAACTACACCACACCCAGCTACCTGCGGATGGACTAATGGAGGACGGAGACTCTGAGAACTGACGCCTCGATTAAGGGGAGGCAAGCGAAAAGAGTGGAGACAAACTTGATTTTTTTGTAAAACTTGTCGTACCTTGCAGGGTCTGAAATAGACGTACATACAGGTGTTGAAAGAAAGAAAGAAAGAAAATGCGTGCTAGTCTGGGCATAACTTTGAGGATTGTCCAGTCAACTGATTCGATGTGAGTGTGGGCAAAATGGAACAAATGCATGCAAAGACTTTAAATGTGTGGGTGAAGCAGGTCTTCAAGGTGTTTTTAAAAGGGGACTCTTACTCTCAGAGGACGGACCTAAAGAGGCACTCCTCATGATACATGTTTAAACAAACTGCTGACTAATTAGGCTGCTTCAGATTCTACAAGGCAAAACAGTGGCCTCGCACGCGCCCTGACCCCAATGCATCGTGGGAGCCAAGCTTGTCTCCCCTCTGTCCCCCCGATCAATAGAGAAACTCCGTCAAATTGTAAAACACAATTCATGTCCTTCGCTCCAATGCCAGTCGCTCCTGCCCTCATTAGATTCAAACACTTCAGAGGGACACCGGCTCAAGGACGCCCTGTAATATATGACTCCACCTCCAAGACCTTCTACAGCTGGAGCATCACGGCCTTCAGACAACAATCAGACCATCACTGTATCATTATGAAGTTGGTTGAAGCACCACCCCGAGAAAACTGAAATGTACAGAGAGGAAGTGCTTAATAAGTCATTGCCTGTAACACCAAACATCCTTAACACTCTGAGCTACAGGACATGTTTAGAAAAGGTGCAGGATGTTCTTACGTGACTTTGAGTGACTTTGAGTCTGCGCAGAGCTTGAAAAGAGTGTGGTAGTGAAAGGGTTAAAGAAGGCATCTCATCACCTGATTAGCGGACACTCCCACAAAGCCCCTGCAAACACGTCTTTTAGTAAATTAAGAATATCTTGTTGTCTTCTTGCTTATTGCTATTTTATTGTATTATGAAGCATTGCTGCGAGCAGCAATAACAATATATTATTTAATTCGCTTTTCTTATTAAAGAGAGAAAGATTGTATTGCTTTTTTTCCCTGGACTGATGAAAATGTTAGGTCTTAAAATGTCGTCTTCTTCTTCTCCTTCTCCTTCTCCTTCTTCTTCTTCCAATACATTATTGGTACATTGCAGCATTTCCATTTTTCAAAGGGTGTATACGGTACATTTCCATGGCTTTGTCCTTCTGTGTCTGAAATCATCAGATGTATGACTTATGTCCCATTTCCTCTTGTCAAACATTTGGTGCCAAAATGCCTGCCAGAGCCTCAGAGATCCACACTCAGTGTTCAGGACACATCTTTGAAGTTGAGCAAATTCGTAAGTTTATCCTCCTTGACCACAACATGAGACTCGCTGCTGTACGTTGTAAACATATCCAGAATCTAATGCCCCCATCTCAGAATCAGAGACTGTATCTCATAGTGTAATGTGATTAATGATAGCAATGCAAAGCCTTGTCAAGGTCAATAAGTGCACTCTCTATCCCGCGCTGAATTGGATTAAAGGCTGTTGTGTATTATACAGCAGAGAGATAGAGAGACAGTATTTTATTCATACCTCGTTGTGAATTATAAACCACTCCAGCTTCAAGGTAAACAAAAATAAGCATATTTGAACAAGAAATATCATTTTCTCATGCAGTCTGTTAGTCTGATTATTTATAAGACAAATTCCTTGAGTTTTATTTATAGTGTTGTCCATCATTCCTGCTGGTATTGATTTGATTCACCAGATTCAGTGTAGAGATGTTGCTGATGCTGTTATACTGCATATGTCTGGATTACAAGACGGCAGGTATTTAATGGATCAAGGAAAATGAGTCTGGTTTTATTTTTACTTATTTTAAAGCCTAGTGAAGTCTAGAGTCTAGACACCATTGATTACACCGCACAATATCACACATTTTTATCAGAGGTCCCTACATCTGCATAACATCAATTTAGATATTCAGTTTTGAGTGTACACAAAAGGCAGGAATAGCAGTAGAAAAAACGTAAATAGCCAGAATTATGATTTTATGTATATTAAGTACATCATCTTCATCAGTATTAACATTTAAAGGTGTAATGAGTTAAAGAGCCTTGAATCCTGTTATCAACATTTAGTTGTAAAACCTTTAATTGTTCAGCAAATACATTCTGCATAATCCTAAATCATTAAAGGGGTCTTACTGTCTATAGTACGTAAAAATAATGGACAGTTTACCTTGAGTTTTGCAATTCTGGGTCAACTTCTTCATTTTCTTGTCTTTAAAATGAAGCTGGTAAAATGTACACATTATTCTTCACATTTTAGCTGTAAACTCTTCCTTGTAACTGTATTATTGCCGTAGTGTGTATATGTGCCAGTGTAAGGGGGGTGTAATGAGAGAACAGACCTTATTTCTTTGTTTTTTTACCCCCACACACACACACAGACATCTGGCTCTAATAAAGGAGAAAAGCTACCGGTAGCCGTGCACAAGCAATGGCTGTATTCTCAGTACGGCCTCCACAAAAACACACACACTCAGCTTTCACATTAGCGCTCCTGCTGATGTTGATGCCACGCAGCATCTTACTCAGCAGTTACACCTCTGCACTTTAACACACTGGACTGAGCCTCAGCCTAAAACTGCCTCATTTAGCCCAGAGAAGGAAGACAACGATACACAAAGGACCTCTTAGGCATCGCTATTTTCTCCTCTTACACCCCAATCCAAGCAAATTGCCTACTGCATATAAAAAGCAAGTCAGTGGTGGACAAAAATAAACAGCCACATTTGTTTTGTGGCTATTCTTAACTCCACTGCCCAGCTGTGTATACAAACGGGTATAATATGTTGTTTTAGGACGATGGTCTATTGTTGGACTGAATTGCAGGAATAGCTTCTAACATATCCGAGGGAGGTTATTCAAGGATGTGATGGTGTACCTATTTTATTAATTTATACAGACCAAAAACATTTGATATACAACAAAGAATAGTGTCATGAACGGTTAATATCAATACCAAATCAAGGGGTGGTTTGACAACATGGGAAATATGCTAATTTGCTAGCAGCTAGCAGCATGTTAAAAATACTGATGTGTAGCAGCTAACATGCTAAGAGTGGTCCCCATCATAGGGTGTAAGCATGCTAACAGGTGTTGAATAGAACTAAACACAAGTGCAGCAGAGGCTCATGGGAAAAAAAGAGTTGAGCAGATTGAATTTTCCCGCCTTTTTTCTTCTGTTTTTAAGCTAAGCTACGTGGTTGCTAGCTGTGTGGTATTCAAATAAGTATATTTCCCACCCTCCCTTAAAAGGCCGAAGAGGCATTGGAGTAAAAACTAAAGGTTTGTAAAGGTTTTTATTTTGGCACCAAAATATATTTCAGCATCTATTTAACCAATACTATAACCGTTCATCAGCATAGAGGGACGAAGCCGGGGTTTTTTTTTGTCTCCTTCTCTTCCTGTTTCATTTATTTATCTACAGCTCAAA